CAGCCAGTGCACCCCAATCGAAAACGCTATAAGTATATTTTTATCGATATTTGAACGAAATGATCGTCAACGTGACGTCAAATTGACGTCAATTCAATGAATTATTTCTCGCTGGGGACGGGAAATACCCTGAATACCTCCAAATGTTTAAGATTGTGTGTTCTAAAATTAACTGTCAGTACTGAAAAACTATATAGTGTATGTAACATAAACGATACAGCCCTTCTACAATAAGCCACAATGCCACAAGTCAGAACGCCAGAAGTCTTATAGCGTTTTCGGCCCGACCGGGTTTGCACCAACCTGGGTTGGATTAATGGCGTTTTGCGCTCTCCTATTGGTAGAGCGTGTGACATCAACCAATAGGAAAGATTAATCCAACCCAGGTTGGTGCAAACCCGATCGGGCCGAAAACGCTATTAACCAGTCTTAACCAAGTCATTTAAGTTGGCCATTGGCCAACTTCACTGATTATGACTTAAGATCGCTTAGAACTTCTGACTTGCGGTTTATTGTAGAAGGCCTAATAGATTTGCAGTACTGGCAGTGAATTTTGGAACACAGCCTAAGTATAATATTTATGAGATTTTGAATTTTGATTTGTAGATTGAAGTTTCAAATCAGCATGGGTAAAATCCGAAAAAGATGGTCAGACACAGAACTTGAAAAAGCACTCGCTGATGTTCGTTGTGGAAAGTCAATTAATGGTATTAGCAAATCAAGTGGTATTCCTAAATCAACGCTAATCGCAAAATTGAAAGGATATCGACCAATTGGAAAGAGATCAGGTCCTCCAACTGTATTCTCTATTGAGGAAGAGGCAATAATAGTACACTGGATGCTTCATCTCAGTCAACGAGGCTTCCCTGTGACAAAAACACAACTGTTTTATAACGTTGTTCATTTAATTAAACGATTGGGTCGGGAAACACCATTTACTGATGGACGACCGGGGCGTCATTGGTATGAAGCATTTTTACGTCGACATCCAGAGATTTCTATTCGCGTAACTCAAAATTTGTCCAAAAATCGAGCCTCAGTGACAGAAGATATTCTGCGTGGTTGGTTCAAAGAGGTCGAACAACATTTAACTGAGAAACAGTTAATAAATATCGATGGAGCCCGGATATTTAATTGCGACGAATCTGCTTTCTACCTTTGTCCAAAAGGGGAGCGTGTACTTGTCAAAAAAGGAGATAAGGCAGTTTATAATTTCACGCAAAATGACGAAAAGGAATGCTTGACGGTGCTATTCATGACAAACGCTATGGGTACATTGGTTCCTCCAATGATAATTTTTCCGTATGAAAGAATTCCTTACAGCATTTCGCAAAGTGTACCGATTAGTTGGGGTATCGGAAAGTCAGAAAATGGATGGATGACGGCCGAAACTTTTTATGAATATATATGCAACATTTTTGAGCCATGGTTGACAACACAGAACATCAAAAAGCCGGTTATTCTATATGTTGATGGACGCTCTTCACACATGACGTTACCACTTGCCGAGTTTTGTTCGAGTCATGAAATAGAACTTATTGCATTGTTCCCGAACGCGACACATCTGATTCAGCCACTTGACGTTGCTTTGTTTCGGACGCTTAAATCGAAATGGAGAGACTGCGTAAACGATTGGCGAATGCAAAATCAAAGAAATTTAAGAAGAGGAGATTTTGGTTCAATCCTTAAAATTGCTATTGAACATGTAAAACTTCCTAGTGTAATGAGCAATGGTTTCAGGAAATGTGGCCTTTTCCCGTTTTCTGCCGACGCACTTCAATACAACCAATTGTTGCAGAAGAAAAAACATGATACGATAATAACGGTACCAGAACAGAATGTTGAAAATAATTTATTATTTATTGAGAGTAATATCGATAAAGATTTATTAGGCAAATTCAGATGTGCTAATGAAACTGGAATCTATAACGACAACCTTGAAAACCTTGGCCTCTTTCTTTTTTGGCAAAAGATTGTGAAATTATCAAGTAATAATTTTTATAATTTTTAATTAAAAACATCTCTTGCACGGAATGTAAGAGGTTCGACTCCCGGCTGAGGTAATATTTTTCGTAATAAGAATTAATTATCTACAAATTTTAATATGTCATTTTAATGTTATTAAGATCGTTTTTGAAGATGCGAATCAAAAATTTGTTAAATTGCTAGTCAATTTAACTCGTGATATTACTGCGGTAGTTTAGTAGAGTTAGTGTTTCAAGACCGAAAATTTTTCGGCGCGCATTTCTGTAGGACTACATACGTAGTATATAAATTCACATAAGAATCATACAAGCATTAAGATCCAGCCAGACCATGTAAGGCTTTGATTTTCTATAATTTGTATAACTCACGACATCTTAAGCATCAGGTTAAGACCATTTCAAAACATTTCGTCCATAAAGATTAAAATTGGGGAAAAATTAATCTTAATAAATTTGTAATATAATATATTAAGGTTAATTTTTCCCCAATTTTATTCTTTATGGACGAAATGTTTTGAAATGATCTTAACTTGATGCTTAAGATGTCGTGAATCAATCAGAGAGCCATATTAGCAGCTTAAGACAGTGCTTGAGGCGGTCTTGAAATTAAGAATGAACTACGGATACCAACCTAAGTAAGAAAATTAATCCGCCGATCACTAAATGATTCATTTCATCTGATGCACCAGTCATTAATCAGGACAGTCGGTGGTGTCACTAATAAGGCCAAATTAAATTCAAACGGTCACAAATGCGTACATTTACATAGTCCGCTATTTCATTTTTTATTTTTATTAGATTATGCTTAGAATTTGAGTAAAACATGTTTTTCGATATAAAAATGATTAATCTTGAGTTCGGTATAATTGATTCCTGATTTCAATCATTTTTTAGAATTCTTATTAACTCATGTATCTTACATGGTCACAAATAGGGCCATTTACCTTATGGTAGGGGACATAAATAGGTGCGTTTGTTTCTGCACTTTCCGCATTTAAAACGAGATAAATATATATCCGATCTAGGTTTTAGTGTGAGAAGGAGATAGCATAGAAAGTGTAAATACTCAAATCTTTTAATCTGATATCAAAACCAAGCAAAACACTTGTTGTTTTATTATATTCCTTTTGATTTACATTTGAAAGAGACATGTTTTATTATAAATATAGATATATAAATTACTATAAATATAAATATACATAAATTAAAAATGAAACTTAAGTTATCACTGAAGTATATTAAACATAAGCTATAAAACTGTATAAAATTTATTAAATTAAATAAATGTTTTTATTTATCTCTCTTCTGTGTTTTATATCTAATTATTTATAAACTTTTATTTTAGATATATTTACCAAAAGTAAATATTTTTAATGTTCTCCGTTCCAATACTCCTTCGTATCTCCGCAATCTCTTACATTATAACTCAGAATTTCACGCTGACTCCCTACCTACGACCCGTTATAATAACCTGCTCTCTACTCCTGCTCACCGATCTGTCAAATTTCGAGCTTCCTTCTCTTTCACTGCAGCCAACCATTATAATTCGTTACCTTTGGATGTAAGACTTTCCTCCTCCCTTTCTTCTTTTCGGTCATCTGCTTCTCAGTTCATCTTATCTCATTTCAATTAATATTGTAGTTTATCTTAGTCATTGTAACATTTTACTTCGATTACCATATTCATTGTAATAATATGTCATTATATCATCATCTTATCTCATTTCAGTTATTGTCGTTTGTATATCATAGTAATATGGTATTTTTATTACTGTATTCATGTAATGAATTTATCATTCTATTATCACTGGTTAGGACATGTATCAGCTGTATTGCTGTAGCCTCGCCTTTTGCTTGCATATTGGTTCTTTGTATTACTCACTTTACCTAATGTGTATACGCATGCAATGCAATAAAGCTATTATTATTATTATTAGTTTTTGTGAATAAAACAGTATGAATAAAAAAGTTCTTATTGTCGTGCAACATAGCTTCTTTTTTCTTTTGGGGCAATATATTTATAAAATAAATAACTTAAATTAGAAAAAATACCATACAATTAAAAAATATATACATATAAAATAAATGACTTGGTGAATTAGGAAAATATCACGCAATTAGAAAATGTGTATTTAAAAATGTAATTACAATTTATTAAAGAAAGATACTGATATCATTTTATACAAAAGAGAATGGATAGTATAATAGTGATTTAGTCAATGTTCGGCCTGACAACCTTCTAGGCTTAAAGCTCTTGCCAGATTTCGTGCAACGCCTATTCGGAAGATGGAAATCTTGTCTTGAAATTTTGGATCGTCGCCGTGTGCCTCCACGCAACGTAGCAACTCGTAGCAATCGTTCGAAGAAAAGATTACGTCTTCCGCTTCTAACAACGGTATAGCATCCGTGAGCAGGATGGACCAGAAACTGAAAAAAAATTTTACATTGTAAGTTGTGTAACCATGAATATTCTTAAAACGAACAACTTACTACTTTGGCGTCAAATTTGAAACCAAAAGGGACACCAACAGACTCGCCGCTTCGCGGTATTCGTCCATTCCGTACATATGATGAAACTCGCAATACTTTCCTATAAAATTTTATATTAATTACTGTAATTACAAACGCACAATTAGTTACATAATTTACATAATTACGAAAAATTACATTGTTATATATTACAGAAATATTGCTAATTATTCTCATTGGCTATTATACATAATTCTTTACCCAAAAATGTGAGCCTGTCGCTAGCCAACATGCAAGAGCCCAAGTTCTCTAACAAGTCGCGACACTCTAATTCTCCGTATTCCGCGTAATGCTTCAAAAATTGGTCCGCGATGTATGTGGTAAAGTTACCGTCGTGTGCTTTGAGCGCCCATGTAAGAGCATTGCCCAATCTTCCTTGTCTTATGCTTTTCATCCCTTGGATCTTGCATATACTAGTAACTAAGAATTTTTTTAGTTATTGTAAATCTCGTTTAAGCCAAGAGAGAAAAGTAGAAAGAAAGAGATCGAATTTTACCAACGTGCGGCATATTATTGTCTCGCGCGACGTCAATAATTTTGTTGATTCTTGCCTCTGTGCCTGTTGATAGTGACTGCAACAAAATTTCTAGTCTAGCCAAGCCTTGTGTGGAGCAATGTATCAAATAACTCGCGCCACACTGCCACAACGAGCGATGGCTCATCAGTGTGGTGCCATACTCCAATATGAGAGATTCATGAAGCTGTGCAGTCACACTGTAATAAAATATTTTAATTTATGATTTACAATAATTCTTTTATCCTGTGTTTATACTCACTTCGTCTTTTCTTTGCTGAGAATGTTTAATTTTCCACATTTGTACAATAGATCCATTAGGTGGGCCGCAAACCAGCCATTATCGCTCATATATTGTATTTCTTTGATAACTTGGTACAAATCATTTTCCATTAAAGCAAGGATTACACGATCCAAATGCCTATTAGCTTGCCACCTCTCAGCAACGCTATTCGCGTAGCGTGAAAGTTCCAGCTGTTTGCAGCAGGGAGCTGAGTAAAATAATTTTGCTGCCAGTAATTCATACCATGCTTCTGTATACATGGAATATTCCCATAACACCGATTCGTCTCCCGCTATCAACTGTAAAACAAAAGTATTAACTTTTATATTAAAAAAAAGAAAAAACTTAATATCGCTTTACTGACCTTCATAAGCATTTCCAAATTGTTATCTATAACAAAGCAATTGGTCTCTAGATTTGAGCAAAGATCCATTTGCCAGTGTTTCCATCGCATAATAAATTCGTTTATAGAATATCCACCATATACGTTATAAACTGGCATTGTTCTAATAATATTATCCGCAGTAATAAATGCTGAATGATCAGCTTTGCTGTGTAATGCTAGAAGACGACAAACTAGATTCAATTTACCATGGAATGCACAGCCCATTATAGCTTCCCAATAATTTATATTCTCTAAATCAGCACAGATAGTTTTCCCAGACAAAATCTTTGACGCTGCTAGTTCCCTTGAAGGAAAATGAAAGCTGATCCACTCTAACAACTGTGGTAGCACAACATCGCCTGTGAACATCACGGAAATTTTTTAGAAAAAGTTTTATGTGTTTAAAATAAAAAGAGCTGTACTGAATAAAAATTTATTTTTGTATTTTTATGTTATTTCACAAATTATATTGAACATTTTATTAACTCAATTTACCTGGTACAACGTCAACATAAAGAATTTCTGTCAAATGCCAAATACATTCTACTTGATAAAATATAGTGAGAAAATTTTCTAGCATAGCCTTCTCTTCTGATAATGATTCCTTTGGTAGTATCTCTTGCAAGTTTTCAACACAGGCTCTCAATATAGATCTATATTGTTTGCTATGTTTGAGAAGCTCTGGCCTAATATCGCCAGAAGAAGATTTAAGCTTTTGAATTGACAGGAAGATTCCGTTGCTCTCATTAACCAGTTTACGCAAAAGTGGTGAGAATAATATGATTTCTGGTCGGAGGAAATGTACTCTAGCATCGCAAGGTGCAAATTGACTTCTGGTGTCTAAAATAAATTTTTAATGTAGCAAAATAATTGTTCCTAACTTATATGCATTAAAAGATACAAATTTATAATATACAACTTCTATACACATATGTATATATTATTTGGCAACCTTGCGAATATTTGTCCACATGTTTGTATGCATGTATCCCAAATCTATTGCTGTTGATCCAGGTTGTCGCGATACCTGCTCTCCTGCAAACATCATCTGCTATAACCTGTAAAACAAAGTTAACCAGATTGTTGATTAACGAGTAAAAAGAATTATAAAATTACATTTTCTAGTTTCTTCTAATATCTGTGTAGTCAAAAATAAAAAAAAATTCAATAAAAAATGCATAATTAATATTAAAAGCAAATTCGTGCAGATTGAACTAATAAATAAACTTGTAATTGATTCTTAAAATATCGATTAGAGATAGTCTAAATACGTAACGTCGTCTAACTTTATATTAAAATTTAAAGTAAACATTACAATATAATATTTATGTATCTGGATACAAAGTGTAAATAATATTTTACAAATGTGTGTGCATCTCACTAACAATTATTTGAGCATTGTCGACTTCGTCCATGATCACTCAATTTATTTCTTCCTAAATTTGTAAATCACGTTTACGCTATTATTGCAATTAATAATATTCCCGTAAATAAATACTTTGGCGGGGTACCGGTCGCCATAAAGTCATCGACTTGACTATTGACAGAGAAAGGAAAGTGGCTGTTTGTTAATGAACTCTGTTTCTCTCTAATAAGAGTCACGACACGAGAAAACGTGCGTTGATTGGTTCACCAAGTTTCAGGAATTCCCGCTCTATATTTGAATATTTATATTCGCGTTATTTTTAAATTTCAACATAATTGAAATTAGATATTTTAAAGGTATTAATGAATAGATTTCTTACGTTAAATGTCGAAATAACGCATGCGAGAAGAATCGTTTAAAAAGAAACATGTATAATGCTTGTAGACTCAGTACATCATGTTTTTATCTTTCCAATATATATTCCAAAAAATATGAAAATGATAAAATTAATAACAGTTCATAGAATCAATGATTTACAAAACTCACAGTTCAATCTAGTCATTTGTAGATATAAAAAATAAAATAATATCATAATTTTAACTCAGGGTTGGAAAGTAACGCGTTACTTGTAACGCCGTTACCGTTTTCGTTACTTTTTTCAGTAACGATCGTTACTTTTTTCTGTCTATAACGGTAACGATAACGTCGTTACATTTTTATAGTAACGGTAACGAATTTAGCCGTTACTGTTACCGTTACTTCAGTTCCCTATTATTTTCTTTTTTTATATAATTTATTTTTAATTTCTTAAAAAGTATTTTGTGCTTAGTATCTTATACTGTGTTCTAATAGGTACTGCCAATGTTGAAAATATATAATTCACATTACATATATATACTGTAAATTTTTGGTACGGACAATAAATATTGAAATACACATAATAGAGTAACTCTGATGGAAATAAATCGTTGAAATCGCTGAAATTTCTATCAATTAACTCATTTCATTATGAATTATACTGAAATCTATTGATAAAGATTTCGTCGATTTATTTCCACCAGAGAACATTAACGTTTAAAAACAATGTTTAATCTATTATCTGTTTAATCTAAATTCTTATAAAAATGAGTATATTAAAATAACGATATTATCTAAGTAAAATAAGGAATTGGTAAAACTGTAGATAAGTTTAATATAGAGAAAAAAACTTGTTCTATATACAAACTAGTTAGTAGAGAATTTCAAGTTTGAATATTTATTTCACACATTTAATATTAAATTAATTATCAGCTAATATAATTTTCAAATCTAAGAACTTACTTTAGAATTATGAAAAAAAAAAATTAAAAAGTAACGAATCGTTACTTTTGAAGTAACGGTAACAGTAACGGTAACGAGTTACATTTTTCAAAAAGTAACGGTAACGCGTTACTTTTTTGAGGTAACGCACACAACCCTGATTTTACTGAACTAATGCCAAAATATATACGAGATATATACTTTTCATTAAATTAAAAGATGCCATAACAAAGGGATATATGTATGCAAACGTTTATATTTGACATTTTATATTTTATATAATTATGCATAGAAAGCTTAACAGACATTAGAGGTAAAAAAGAGGTACAAAAATATTTTCTATATTAATAATTGTCACTCTTCTTATATCAAAATATTGTAACAATAAGTAGAAGAAATCTTTCTATTGAGAACATCGTATAAAAATAGTACGTATTATGTAATAACAATGCACGTATAAAATTCTATTTCGAATTTAATGATGAAACAATCGGAAACTAGTATGAGCCAATACAATTCCATGTTCGTTGCAGGCTTCTATTACTGTTGCGTCGTTCGTGGAGCCAGCAGGACTCGCGATAAACTTGACACCACTCTGTAACGAAAGAAAAGGAATCATTAAAAATGTAGTATTAATAAATTTATTGTTTAGAAGAAAAGTTGGTTGACTAGCATTTAATTTATTTTTATCAACTTAAATGATTGTGTTTATATAAAATAAAGGTAAGATAATAATAATTGTACATACAAGTCTAGCCCTGTCCACATTGTCTCTAAATGGGAAGAAGGCATCGCTGCTCAGAGCAACATTATCCAACTTTTTGAGCCACTCGATTTTATCGCTCTCCGATAGTTTTTCAGGAATCACTTCGTACATGGCGGCCCAAGTAGCTTCATCCATATCCTTTCCAATAGATCCGTTAACGTAATTATCAATGGCATTAGAAATTTCGGCTCTTTTCACTCCCTTCTTGAACTTCATTCCTGTTACCTTCGGGTGTTGACGAAGCCACCTATAATAATAGAATATATACATAATAGAATATATACAATAGAATATATACGAAGCCACAACAATAATAGAACACACACACGCACGCACGCACGCGCGCACACACATATAAAATACAAGATAATAACTTTCATATATAATTCTATAATATATTTTTAGTAATCCATTTTAATATATACATATAACAAAAAAAACGAACCAATTATCAGCCTTATCTCCAGCAAGCCTAGTGCAATGAATTCTAGATTGTTGTCCGGCACCAGTGCCAATCACTTGACCGTCTTTAGCATAACAAACAGAATTACTCTGCGTGTACTTTACAGTGATAGTGGCTACGATCAGGTCGCGAACAGCGTTTCCCGATAATGTTTTTGATTTCGTCGTCACAACATTATCGAATACCGGCTTGTCGATTACCGCATCATTACGTTTCTGCTCCATAACTAAGCCGTACAGAGTTTTGCGTTCCATCGGGGATGGTACATAAGAAGAATCGATTTGAAGCACGCAATATGCGCCACCCTTCTTTTTCTTTAATATCTGAAGAGCCTCTTCCGAGTAACCAGGTGCGATAATGCCATCTGAGACTTCTCTAAAAATTATACAAGAGATCAACATAAATATTAATATCAATATTGTATTCATAGATATTAATTATATATTACGTTATTATATTATCATATTTGTAAAAGATGTCAATATTGTATTAATATTATAATCATACGTTAATTATCATGTACCTTGATATGATCTTTGCCGTTATAACATCACATGGCTCAGACAATGCAATGAAATCGCCAAAACTGGACATTCGATCGGCACCTCTCGCACGAGCGTAAGCAGCCGCTAAAGGCGTAAGCTGATCGTGAAGATCATCCACTTGACATAGCTTCGCTTGTATATTGTCCAAGGGGACACCGACTGCGGCTCCAGCTGGGCTCACGTGCTTGAAGGAAGTCGCCGCTGGTAAATTCAGAGCGGACTTTAATTCCTTCACTAGTTGATAACCGTTTAAGGCATCACAAAGATTGATGAAACCAGGTGATCCATTCAGCACAGTTAACGGTAACTTCTCAAGGGTAGTAAATATCTGCGCGGGTTTCTGATGCGGATTCATACCATAGCGAAGAGTGAGTTGAGAGACATCAGCACTGTACTGCTTGCGGAAGTAATCAGAGATAGAATTGTCATATTCAGCGGTGTGAGTAAATGCTTTTAGAGCTAAAGTTTGTCTGAAATATATTATACACATATGTACACACATATATATACATATGCATATGTGTGTGTGTATACACACACACACACACACACACAGTATTATCAAAAAGGCAATTTTACATGATTGCAATGTAAATTTACCTAGTCTTGAAAGAGGTGTTATTGTCAGCAGCAGTATCCATCTCTTTGATGACCTTTTCATAATCATTGGGGTCACAGATAACTGTAACTCTAGCATGATTCTTAGCAGCAGCGCGTAACAAAGTCACACCACCAATATCGATATTCTCTATTGCATCCTCGACCGTCACGTTTGGTTTCAAAATAGTATTTACAAAAGGATATAAATTGCAAACAACTACTTCGATAAGATCGTAATTCTGTTTCTGAAGATCTTGAGCATCAGAATCTGTCAACCTGGCAAGAATGCCTGTCACAATAAAAATAAGAATGTAAAAATTATAAAGGTATGTATATTATAGCTTAATTGTACATGTCATATAATTGTTATTCTATTTAATTACATAACATTTGGATAAATATGGAGGTCTGTTTTGTTAAAGCTGAACTAGTGCACATTTTTTGTAGTTAAACTGAAATAGATATGTTTGTGATATTTGGCAAAAGAAAGTTATAAGAAAACAAATATCTATATATGGATAAATTATTTAATTGTAACAAATTTATTTTTACCAGCATGAACAGCAGGATGAAGAGTCTTTACACGCCCTCCAAGCATTTCAGGTGCTCCTGTAACTTCTGAAACATCTCGCACTGGTAACTTAGCATCTCTTAAAGCCTGTGCAGTACCACCGGAAGCAATTAGAGTTAATCCAAATTCATGTAATTTTTTTGCTAATGGTAACAGATTGGTTTTGTCAGACACACTTAAAAGAGCTAAAAATTTTATAAAATTGATTAGCATTACTGCTTAAAAATTGCAACATGAAACATATAAATTGAAATATGATAGATCAGAAAAAATATTTTAAATATAATTGATTAGAAAAATAGTAATCACACCAAATCTATAAATGTGCAAACGTATCTAAAAATTTGTATCTTTTCTTTGATATTTTTCTATTATATTTAGTTATTATATCAATTTCTTATCACTGCCATAATTTGATTTATATTTATATTCCATTATTTTTATCTCCAAAATAAAATAATATATTTTTATTTTGTTCAATATGCAGGAAATGTATATCCCTTGATATATAATTAATCAAAAAGTTTAAATATCATACTATATCAGTGCAAAGTAGTATATAATATGAATTCTAATTTCATACTAATTATGCAGTTGCTAAACAATTGCAAGTAAAACGTAATTTGCATCTGGATAAAAGAGAAACGAACATAAATATATTGTTAACGTTTCATTAACAAAAGAAACAATACAACACAAATCCGGCGAATGAGAGTCAACAGGTAGTGCGCTATCAATTAAAGGTTAATCAGATCATCTTTGTTTTTCTCGAGTTTCTTCTCAATTCTATGAAATAACTCACCTAATTTCTTTGTCGGCATTTTTAGGCGTTAGATCCGAATAAGGCTAGTAAAATTGCACACAGGTGTTTTCTTTCTAAACGAAGCCGGTTTGCAAGTATCTCGCCAATAGAATTCTCTCGCGCTCAATTAGAGGTAATGCGTGGCAATGCGAGGCAGAGGATGTGCCAACCAAAGAGCATCTATTATATCGGATGATATAATGTACATATATTCATCTCCCCAGCAGGCAATAAATAGTGTAAATGCGATAACAGGCTTGTGACGCTGAAAAAACATGTCGCAATGATTGCAATAATAAACAGCAGGGGAGCATCAGGTCAAATGTTATCTTATTATATTTGGATAATAAGCATTAATGTGTGAATAATGATCATCATCGTATGCACACACACCATATATATATATATATATATATATATATATACACACACACAGGGTGACCCATTTTAACTTAGCAGCCAAATAACGCGAAACATCGCGATTAAATAAAAAAATGTTTAAAACAAAAATTGTTGGATATGAAGGGGTTGATTGAACTATGACCTTGACAATGACCTTGACCTTCATTTTCAAGGTTATTTGAAGGTCTACTTTCAATTTTCAAATAGAAACCCATATTTTTGATCCCGGATTTTGAAAGAGCGCAAAATTTTACGTCCAGATGAACTTTCATGTTATGGGTCAAAGTTGACCATACAGGTCATTTCAAAGACAAATTCCTAATCGAAGCAGAAAGCAAAAAAATCTTGATTTTTCCCGGATAGTGTTTGTGAGAAAAATTGTTGGATGTCGAGGGGAGACCAAACCATGACCCTGACAATGTCCTTGAACCCATATTTTCATGATCATTTCAAGGTCAAGTGGGGATTTTTAATAAAATTTTATGCTACATATGTATTTTCTTGTTGTGATTCTTTAAATATTAGCATACCTTACCTTCAAAATCGAAAATTAAACTTTCCATCTGATGGAGTTCCTCTAAGTATCCCTCCAAAATTTTGTCCATTTAGTGCCAAAGTCACAAGTGCCTTCACTGGCTGAGTCACCATTCGACCTTGCCTTCACTGGCTGGGTCACCACACGACCTTGCCTTCACTGGCTGGGTCAC